CGTAATTATTCTTGCAATTCTTTTTACTTTAGATGAATTATCAGCTTTATGGTATATACTCTTTTTTGGAAATTTTTTTTATATTCGAACTAATTTAGATTCACTCGATATAAGATTTTAAAAAAAGAGAAACGCTTCTTATTTAAGAAAAAAAATATTCTACCACATCTGTTTGATGGTATTATTTCTGGGTACACTTTGAATAATCTCATATTCTTTTTTTATTTTCTTTTGTCTAACTACATTTGCTAGAAAATGTTTTTTAAAAAATTCAACAAAAAGACTATTTTGGTAAAAGTGAGGCACTTCTTTTCTATAAAAAAGATCAAAAAAAAAAATAAACACCATAAACTACAAAGTTGTCTCTTTTTCTATTTTCATCTATTTTTTGTTAATCTTTTAGTGGTAGTATATTCTGATTTTATTTAGAAAAAGTGGGCCTAGATTTTTTTTATCGATAATAAATTTGTACTTGACATTGATTCGCTAATAAAATTTGTAAAATGCTCACCACTAATTACTAGGACCCCTCTTAATCAATATTTTAACAAATATAATATTTTTTCAATTTTAATTAGTTCTTCAATTTTTTTCCTATATAATATTTTTTTTAAAAATAACCCGGGGTGAAGAAAGGGTAAATACAAAGGGATTACAAAGTAGAGAACCTTTTCTTTTTACAATTTAATCAAAAAAGAAGAAGAAGGTATTTTTCACCAATTTACCTTTTTAAATTTTTTCTAATAACTGTATGTAGTTTACGTATCTTATTCATCATTTCCAAATTAACAACGAAGAAATATTTTTCAATACTTTATAATATTTGTACTTTTAAAATAATATTTTAAAAAATTAACTTATTCAATTTAATTAATAAATATTTTACAATAAACCTTTTAAACAATATGAAACGGAGGAGACGAGTATCTCACAGTTTACAATAACTCTAAATCAGAAATAAGGAGATGTGGACTTGAAGGAACATTTTAGTTTTTATTAATTATAAATTTTTATTTTAGTTTGTGTGTCGAAATTCATATTTCCATCATAAAATTAAATATAAAATTTAAAATTTAAAAGTTGCATAAAAATCTGATTCATGACTTAAAATATCTACCAGGCTATAAAAAAATTCTTGATAAAAAGAAATTATTTATTTAACTTTTAAAATTTTAACTATACCAAAATTTGGACGAAATAAATAGCAACGTGATCAATTCTTTTTTACCTCAAAGTCGCAAAAGACGGCAGCTAGTCTCAAAAGTTATAAAATATCCCTATCATTCGTCTTTTGGTTTAAAATTGACCATCTATTTAACTGTTTTATATTTAAACTATTTAAATATTTTTTTAAATATTTGACACTCAATTATTGTTATAATTTAACTTATTAGTATAATTTATAAATCAATCCACTATCCACCCATTACAAATTAAACCCACCAAATTAATAAACTCGACATAATATTAATGCAACAACAGAAAAACTATTGCCAATGGAGTGTTTTTAAAAATTTGAGACGAAAATATCTATAGAAGTAAATTATTATACATTCAAGTGTCTAAATAAAAATTATCGATAAATTTAAAAGTCTGACTATGTTAATCTTAATTATTCTTACATCTCAATTATGTGATGTTACTTCATAGGTAACTTTTTTTTCAAAATTATATATTAAAGGTTTTAAAACAAATGATAAATATTTATAAAAAGTATATTTTTAAAAAGTGCATGAATTAGTTCGAGATATATTAATTCTTTACATTTAATCATAAATTTCTAATTCAATCTTGAAAGAAAATTCTATTGAAATTGTCCACATAAATAAATGGTTCAACATAAATTTAATTGGTGCTTTGATTCGGACTCGAATAATTTTGGATGTCATTTTCATGAATCTATAATTTCATCGTGTTTTAGTAGTGTTTATGACCATTTTGATATAATAGTTGGATTATTAATTGGGTGGGGTTTAGTTAGTAATGAGTGGGTAGTGAGTTTGGTTTATAAATGGTATAAATAAACTAAATTATAACCAATAGTTGAGCATTAAAATATTTAAATAGTTTAAATTAAAAATCATTAAATAAGTGGTCAATTTTGAACTCAAAGTGGATGACAAGGGTATTTTGGAGCCAATAGGTGGATGAAAAGGGCATTTTGAAGCCAATAGGTGGATGAAAAGGGCATTTTGGAGCCAATAGGTGGATGAAAAGGACATTTTGGAGCCAATAGGTGGATGAATGGTAATTTTGTACCATTTTCAATACTTTAAAGATATTTTAGGTCCTTTTTCGTGAAAGAAATTATTGGCTAAAAATAAAATAAAATCTCAATATTAGCCACAAAATCTATTTTCAGTCGGTATATATAAATAGTTTATTTAAATTACGCAACAGTGTCATTTTTAAAATTCAAAATCTACCTATCATTATTTTCCATTGTATAAAAAGAAAATGAGAAAATACGAAAAATTTAAGTTCTTTAGTATTTTAATGAGATTTTGTTTCTAATAATTTTTTTCGATGACAGTGTCGGAGCTAGAAACTTTATAAAGAGGGTCCAAATATTAAACAACAAAAACTCTTTTTAAAAAGGAGAAAAAATTATTGCAAGTGAGATTTGAACACGTTAGCATTGACTCATTAAAGATGTTTAAACCCACATTCAAAAATTATGTTTTATTACGCTTTTAACGGACTTTGCGTAGACATTGTTTTATAAGCTCACATTATTTGTCAAAGTTGTAGCATTACATCCATAAAATAGTAGTCGTATTTTATAGTTAGGATGAATGTACCACTACTGAATTTGTTTCTGTCTTTTAGCTAAATTTGGTTTTGCTTTTATGAAAATATTCTTATAATATAAAGTTGTTATTAAGTCTCCCTTTTGAACCATCTATGGCCAGATGGTTTGTGACTTTTTGTCACATAAACCAGAACACACATACATAATAATGAACAATACTTTCTTTAGTAAAATAAATGACAATATTATATCGATAATCTCTTAAATTTCCCATCAAACTTTATTAAAATATTTGAGTTGTTATCTATTTTGATTGACTAAGATGATAAAATGTTTTTATAGACATTTTTCATTATAATCTGTTTTGATTGAACATGATGATAAAGTTTAGCAAAGTTTTTGTTCTCTGTGTTTTCAAGTGTCTTTAATCATATGCATTGATCTTAACAAGTTGTAAATTTTTTAACTTTGTTTCAATTGATGTTAATGTGTATAATTGAAGAAATTGCATATTTTACGCGATTAATTATCGCGTTTACCAACATACATAGAAGCATTTTAAAAATTTGTCTAAAATAATAATTATGTATTTTACAAAAGTAAATAGATGGAAAATTGTGTTTTTATTTATTAAATAAAAAAGTTGGTTAGAGCCTAGCCATAGTCAACAAATCCAATGATGGGAGCTAGGGGGGAAGAATAAATGTATTGTAGGTAAGAATAAATGATATCATATATTTTAATATAATATCAGAATAAGTAGAAGATTTTGAAATTAAATTTTATCGTCATTTAGGAAGATAAAAAGAATTTTTAGATGTTTGATTATAAAAGAAAATAATTCATTTACACATGAGAGAATGTATTAAAAAAGCAAGTGTAAGAAGATCGTTTTAATACACAAACTTGAGAAAGATATCTACAATATTCGGAAGACATCGGATTTTCGTAATTAGGTGATTTTTTTAAAATAATTTTTTATAATAATATTTTTTTGTTCCTAATTACTTGTTCATTTTTTCTGATTTAGTTGTCCCTAATTACTTGTCTATTTTAACAAATTAAAAAAGGACAATCAAAAAATTTCTATTATACCCTCAATTTATTACTTTGAAAAATGTAGAACTTTTTGAAAAGTTTAAGTTTTTAATTCATTCACTTCATAATAAATAGGAGTAAAATGATAACTCACTATATCAATAATTATTTTTAATAGATGTGTATCAATTCAAAAGTGTAAAATAATTAGTAACAAAAAAATACTTTTTAAAACATTTCAACTAACCAAACATCAAAAAATGGAAAAATTATTTTCTAAAAGAAATATATTTTCTCCTAACAAACACACCCAAAGAGAAAAAAATGATAAAAGAACAAAAAGGGATTTTCCATATGCCCTAGTGGGGACTAATCATGTGCACTAGAAGTCAAAGGACCACTTCAATTATTTTGAGTTTACTTAGATTTAAAAAATGATTTGTGATATCGACCTATTTTTTCTTGGATCAATTTTTGTCATACAAAAATATTAGAAAGGGATGGGGATCACCTCCAATACTTTGTTGTCCACTAATATTCAATGCATCACTAAATTTAGAACATATAAATAATTAAAAATCAATCGTTTAATTTAAATAAAATAGCAAAAAAATAATAAAACAAAATAACATGTTTGAGAGTTTTCATCAAAAACCTCATCTTTACTTATTTTTTATTACCCTCCATATTGTTTGTGTAATGCGTTGTCATATTTTGTTGTTGTTATTTATATTTGAACTCTATTTAAGTTAAATTTGACAATATATGATTATTTAGACGGTTAATTTTTTAGTTATTTATGTGTTCTAAATTGTTTAATATTACTGGACACAAAAGATGGTCTTATTTTTATGAGAAAAAAAAGACAATTAACTTCTTGTTATCTATCTTAATACGAAAACACATAATTTGGTTTATCAGTATTGATTTTGCTATCCTATGCATATATTTAACTATTGAGTACAAGTTAAGAACTTTTGTAATATTAAGATGCTATCAAACAAATAAAACAGCTGGTTTTTAATGATCATATTTCATTATTGTTCCCCTAAATAAACAATGCTAGTCTTATGGGCATTTTGCCTTAATTACTGGTACATATCTCTAAATTGAAATTCATTATTTCTAACGATAACTTATTAATCTAAATATTTCCATTTTAGATCATTATTTTTTGTTTATACATTTGAGAAGTGTTTTTTTTCAAATATAGCTTTTGAGACTGATGAAACATTAAACCAACGATTAATGTTCATATAATTTCAATCATATAACTTTTCGATTTGCTCAAAAATAAAATCAGAAAAACCATTTAAAAAAAAATAAAATAACCGACAAAAAATCCAATAAATTTTTAACAAACAAACACTCATCAGTATAGCTGAAACTAGATTGGACCACTTCATTAATGTGACACATATCATATAGTAATAAATATAATATAATAAAATACAAATTTCTACTTTAACCCCACGTCTTACATTTTTTTAATATCACGCTGAACCATTACTGATTAGTAATGACCTTAGAGTTAATTAGAATATTAATCAAATCCCATTACCATGTCACAACCATTTATAGCCATCAGTCTTCGTCATTAAATTAATTAATCTCCTCCACCTTCCTTAATTATCTTAATTGAATATCCCTTTCTCCCTAATCCCACCGCCAAATTTATTATTATTATTTTTTTTAAAAAAAAAATAATCAGATTATACAGCTCAAATACCGTTGCAGTTTCCACGACGCCATAGATAGTGGTCGTTACTCGTTAACCCATTTTCTTCTTCTTCTCTACTGTAAAACTTTTCAACTAATTTTCTTCGTATTTTTGTTCTCCATAGATTTATTTTTTTCTTTGAATTCATTGAAAAAGTGAAAAAAAATTATGAGAGAGAGCTCAAGGCAACAGCATCAAACTCAGGTAATTACGATTTTTTTCTTATTTTTTTTTGTTTTTTTTTTTGGTGCATTTTTTTTCCTTATGTATAGATGAGGAATTGCAGAGAAGTTGGGCTGAAAAATTGTGTTTCGGTTGCACGTGCCTACAGCTTTTTTGGCCGCGAGTGGTGATGCGTAAATGGCTCAATATTAGTGCTAAGGATTCCGATTACAGTGCTGACCCTGACTCTGATGTCGGCTCCGATTCCGGTTCCGATTCCGACCAAGGTTAATTTTCTCGCTTTTATTTGAAATTGTATTGATATTGTGCATCGTTTAATTGAGCTGTGGAAACAACCTATAGCAGAAATGTTATAGCGGGAGTTTAGTGCATCAGTATGATCTTTTTTTTAGAAAAATTGTTATTGTGCTCTATTATGTTCGAATTGGTCTATTTTCAGATTTGCTGATTTTGCTGTTTCGTTTTGTGCTGTGTAGAATTCTGTGACTGGCCGAGGCAGTCGGGGCTGAACGATGCAAAAGACGGGAAAGTTGGAATTGATGGTAATAGAATTGTTTTGTTGCTCAATTTAGTTTGAATTTTAACCAAAAAGTTCATTTTCTTCTTTGGTAGGTTTTTCTGCTGCTCTTTGATATATCTTTGTGTGGTGATTTTGTTACTGCTGCTCAATTGTTTGTTACTTTAAGTTTTACTGTGTTCTAATAATCCACCATCCCAAATGAATGATGGAAAGGGTTATGAGTACAGAGTCCACAAACTCAACACGATGATTTTCGGTGTAGATTGGGACATGGGTTTCTTAAACTTTTAAAAGTAAAATTTCCATGTGCAAGTCTCATTATTTGATAGGTACTAATATGCAAAAAATTGTGAAATAATTTTGTTAAAAGAGTCTCTAGTTGACTTGCAGATACTAAAAGTTTTACATATGGTGGGACAAAGGGAGTATAAGTTAAGAGTCTATAAAGGATCATATAGGGGAAAGTGTTCTATATTTGATATTTAAGGAAAACGTAAAACAGAAGGATACCGGAAACACGTTGTAATGGCTTTGTGAATGTTAACATTTACATGCAAATACTAGGGTTTAGACTCGTTTGAATTGCTTTTTTAGTCATGAATCTGGTTCTTGACATTACCATTATTATCTTACCTAATTACTTCAATCATACTTTCATTACTATGCTTGGTTAAATTGTTGTTTGACCTTTTATGTCTCAGATGCTCTTCCAAAAATAAGAAGGCGAAAATCAGAAACATTTAGGGCACAGTATATTAACGCTAAAGAAATTAGGTATGATCTTTTGCTTTGACTTTTTAATCCAAAAATATTGTTTGCAAGAAGCATGTGGCATTATATTTGTTTAGCCTTAAAGATTACCGAGTTTGGGTGCTTCCAGAGTATGTGTCGGCACATGGAACGTTGCAGGAAGATTTCCTCCAGAAGATCTTGAACTTGATAGCTGGTTGGATGTTAATGAGCCTGCTGACATCTATGTGATTGGGTAAGTATCTCTCTTTGTTTGTGAAGTCCAGATCTGCAAATTATGCAGAAAGAGTGCTGTAGATTGCTCTTCAAACAACATAGGTAGTGCAGAAAATTGCTTGGGCAGAATGACTTTTACTGTGGTAAGTCACCAGTGTCAGTCACATCTTTTTTGTCCGAGGATAAGTTAGTCACTACTCATTCTTAATATCGAAATTTGAGATGCAAGTAAATATTTGGTCTAAAATGTGTCACATTGTTCCTGTATTTTACTAATGATATTACTCTGTAGAAGTTAAATATGTTCATCCTACAACTTAATTCCTCTCCTTCAAATTTGCACTTTTACCTACCGTCAGGTTCATGATTTATCTGAGGATGCATGTTCCATTAGATGGTAAAACTCCAATCTCATGTACACCCATGCATCACACATACATCAGAAGTTAATTTGATGTTTTGGTGTTGTTTATTAAGGCCTCTAAGTTATATTAACTACTCCTACTTATGCCAACAGATTTCAGGAAGTTATACCTTTAAATGCTGGCAACATATTTGGTGCTGAAGATAACCGCCCAATTTCAGTTTGGGAGGACATCATTCGCGAAAGTCTGAATAAAGTCTCACCAGTGAATAAGTTTAAATCCTTTAGTGATCCTCCTTCTCCATCAAGGTTTAGGCCATCCGAAGATGCCCCTGATATAGAAGAAGAAATTGCTTTTGAATCTGACAGTGGCAGTGAGGAGGAAATTGTCCCAATAAATGAAGAGTGCAATGACTTTGTTGAAATCAAGGATGGATGTATCATGGAGGATCATAAGATTGTGAAAAATGATGTAGCTGTTTTGAACAATACTTGGGGTTTGGAGCCAATCAATGAGGAGTTTCAAAAGCAATTTCCTTCTTCAAAAAAGCTAGACAGGCTGAATTGCTTTAGACCAGACGAGGAGGAAGAAGAAACAGGAGAATCAAATTTACAGTTTGCCAAAAAATTGACAAAAACACTTAGTGGGACAGAAAGAATTGGTCTTTGCTGGCCAGAGAAACCATTGGATCTTCTGGGCCAACATGTTTCAGAAAGACCTGGTTCCTTCAAATCAATGAAATCATTGAAAGCTTCTAAATCTTTTAACACTTACAGTTCTTTTAAGTTGACTGTTAATGGTCAGAATAGAACACAATCAGATGCAAATCTGCTTGCAGGACTAGACCTTGAAGCTTTGATTAATAGGAAAAGGAAACCATCTTATGTGAGGATTGTGAGCAAGCAAATGGTTGGAGTTTTTCTTAGCGTATGGGTTCGTAGGGGCCTAAGAAAGCATATACAGAATTTGAATGTATCTACAGTCGGTGTTGGAGTAATGGGCTACATAGGTAACAAGGTTTGTTCTTTAATAACTTTCAGCTTTTTTGTGATTGCTTTTGATAGCTATTTGAACCAAATGACATAATTCAGACTTCATTTTAATAGTTGGAACTTGGAAATGAAGAAATATCCCTATCAGTTTTTATTTTTTATGTTGCACTGCATTTCATAGATTTATCAGTAGACAGAAAAACAGATCTAAATTATCAAAGGATTAGAATATCAGAAGATGCTTAGGATAATCATAACGTCATAGATATTATTGATGGTATTTTCTCATCAAATGTATCTATTAATCCTTGAAGGCTATTAGTAGATACAAATAAAATGATGCCCTAAGTACAATCTGTGCTTAGTTTCTTACATTATTTGTTTCATTTGCACCAAAATGATCTTGGATAGTAGTATATTTAGGTCAAAAAAGTAAATGAGATCCATAATTGGGATCACTCTGTTACATTTCACAAAGTTAACAAACAGATAGGCGCTGGTCATTTGAATCCAGATTTAGATGCTGTCAATAATTTTTTTCTTTAGAAAATGGTAACAAGTTAAAAATTGTCAATTTTCTGTCTATTGACTGGTGATTTATATTCTGGGATTGCAGTGGACTTCCTATAACCTTGTGAGTTAAATAGACATTATTTATCATTAAACTAGGATAAACTTTGCTGACAACTTTGCTTGTCCATCCATAAAGGCAGTTCCCCTTTTAGTATATATAGGTCAAACTTTTCCAGAGGACGAAATAGAAAGTGTGGTCTAACTTTAAGGATGGAAAGAGGAACTTCGACTCTTTATTCAACTTGTGACAAACTTCATTGGACAGTAATCATCTGGAATCTGTGAAAGTTGGTTACTTCCAACTTTGTGATGAATCTTCAGTATTTAGCAGGTTTTCCCTGCCATACTCACCTTCTACATAAATTTTAGATGATTTCGTGTGAACCTTTTGTCATTTGCTTTTATGCTTTTTGATGGCACTGTTAGACGCCTATCTTAATATAGTAGATGCTATTGGAGAACTTCAGAAATTCATTTTCTTAAATCGAAAAATACATGTAATTAATTGCAATTTGTTGCTAACTTTTTTCTTTCTTTTTTCCTCATAACTAATAAAATTTCCAAGTAATTTCCAGCAGGAAGGGGGTGCACAAAATGTACGTTACTCATCTCTTACTCTTTTCTTCAGGGATCAGTATCTGTGAGCATGTCAATATATCAGACTTTCTTTTGCTTTGTCTGTACTCACCTTACATCGGGTGAGAAGGAGACAGATGTAGTCAAAAGAAACACTGATGTCCATGAAATTCATCGAAGAACACATTTCAATGCATTTTCGTTAATCGGACTTCCTAAGAGCATCCATGATCATGAGTAAGTGTCTTTTCCTATTTAGCAAACATTTCTGTTAAATCTGCAGAATTATAACTTTTCTTTCTTTTTAATCAATCATGGATTTTGCCCCCTCTACCAAGTCTGATTTAGTTAGTGTATATACATGTTTTCCTCTGTTCGTGACTTTCACGGGGGCTATTCTTGGATGGCTTCTCAAGGAAAAAGAATGTCTATGTCAATGTCTCAATTCTCGTATTCTTTATAAATCAAAGTGTCAATTCGGTGGCTGGGTCACGAATAAATAGAGTAGAAGTATGCTAAACATCCCTGTGTTACAGTAGTCCCACTCTCAAGTCAAAAAAGACACTGAAAGCCGTGCACTGAAGAGTTAAGCTTGTAAAGAGGCTTCAATGATCCTGGGTTATTTTGAAGTATCATTGTTTACTGGAGGCAGAGGGAAGGAAAAGATGTGTAATCCTGAAATAATTTTGTTTCCATCTCATGTACTGGCTCTGGTTCAGTGTGGTTCTCTGATGCTATATGGTGCACCTAGTCTTATACTCATTGGTCTAACTCATTCTTCACATTGGAAAATGCATGTACAATTATGCTTCTTTACACCTGGATGCTGACTTACAGCTTCTTCACCAACTAATACGTTGAAAAAGCTTTTAATATACCTTTTGGAACATCATGTGTTAAAGAAACTTTTTCCTCAATCCATGTGTAGCCGGATATTCCGTTGCAATTGTCCTGCAATACTATAAACTCTTTGGTACTGATTATGCTATGTGGCCATGCTTTCATACTTATTTCATATTGTGACTGGAGTCTTTTGATGGTGGTTGAGGTTTTACTCAACTTTTTTTCAGCTAAAACTAAATTGAAATTTCCATATACTGGCCTTTTCTAGTTATCAGAACTAAGACATTCCATATACAATCCTTCTGATGTTATAGACTTTAGGCCCATCTCCTTCTTGAAATGATTCAGATTAATGACAAGATTATACTGTTGCAGGCGAATAATCTGGCTGGGAGATCTTAACTATCGTATAAATTTGCCATATAATAGAACGCGGGAGCTGATAGCAAAAAAGGACTGGTGTAAGTTGATTGAATATGATCAGGTAAGTGTGGATACTCTTAAACACTAATTGCTTACTAACTCACTGATTGCAATTGAATTTTTGATCAGTCAATGTTCCTGGTTGACTTATATGCTGCTCAAACACTTGCAGTCTCAACCTCTTATACTTCATTTAGTGGCTCAGTTTGAGAAGTCGCAAACTGTTGATGTCTTTTGCGTAGATGACTTCATGATTTCTGCAGGAACTGTTCATTTAATTATGTTTACCTTCCATGGCAACTGCATATGATCTTCCAGTCTCCTATTCCACCCCAAAAAGTACATTATCTCATTTTGTGCTTGTGCATCTGGAAAGAAATATGATGTGCAACAGACATCTACTTTAATTCCCGCAACTAGTGACTTAGGATTTGCAATTTGATGGACTACTGTGAATGATAAAAAATAAAGAAAGAACAAGGCCTGTATTATAACATGTTGTGGTTAATTTAATTAGTTATTAGTGTTTACGATCATTTTCAGACATCTTTGATGTAGTAATGTCCATAAAAACACAACTTTGAGCCCAGAGTAGATGGAACTTTTAACGTGTTGAATTGATTTGAAATTAAGAGTATAAGAAATTTTATACTGTGATAATAACATATGTTTTTCTATTTTTGCAGCTCAGCAAAGAGTTCAAGAAAGGTCGTGCATTTGATGGGTGGTCTGAAGGTACTTTAAACTTTCCGCCGACTTACAAGTATGAAGTAAACTCAGAAAAGTATTGTGGAGAGGATCCAAAGGCCGGGAGACGTAATCCAGCATGGTATGTAGCTATTATTATTGTTAGTTATAGAGCTTTAGTGGATGTTCACTCATTAGTCTTTGTTTGTATAGCCCAATATCTTAAAAGTTTGGCTTGATTCTAATCTATGATGCGTACAACAAATCAATATATTTATGCTGCTATTTGGAAACAAACAAAGGAGTAAATTCATCTTATATCTATTATCCCGAGGCTCTAGCATATTCATCCTATACTGTCATCAATATACGTTTTGTGGTATGAAAATACCATGTAGTTGCACTTGCACCATAACTTGCCTAAGTGGAATTCATGGCCTGGCTGCCTTGGCAACATTTTGTCACATGTTTGAAGAATCCAAAGTTTTTGGAGAGGGCAGAATTAGTTCTAAAAGGGTGGGAGGAATATAGTCAAAGGTGAGAACCTTGATATTTAGCTGAAAGTACATGCTAAATTGAAGTTGCATAATGCCAACTGCACTCCCTTGCTTGTGCACAATAAGCATGTCATCTTAATGTCCATCTGTTGTTATCTCTCTAAGTGATGTCCATACTTCAATAATCAGGTTCTCCCATCAGATTGGCAATTCATATGTCATGATCAGTAACTCTAGATTAAGCGAGCTAGTTTGGTTCTTCTTTACTCTTTTTTAACGTCATGCACAGTAAACTCGAGCTAGTTTAATTTTTCTCTACTCTTGTTTAACATGCACACTGACAATTTCAGTTACCAATTCTTTTACAATCAATACTATTTAGATGCAATATTTGAGTTTCTTGTTTCTCAGGTGTGATCGAATCCTATCATTCGGGAAGGGAATAAGGCTGTTGCGTTATGGAAGATCTGAACTTAAGTTTTCAGATCATCGACCTGTCTCTGCCACATATATGGTAGAGGTTGAGGTATTTAGCCCGAGGAAGTTGCAACGGGCCCTCACTTTTACTGATGCGGAAATTGCAAAGGAGGAAATTGTCACAAATATGGGATTAGAGAATGGAATGAGCCGATTCATATCAGACCAGGTTTGTTTTCCAATCATACGTATGAATTTTCAAAAGCATGAATCTTTTTGGTGCATTCATTTCAGACAAATCTCGTCACTGAAGCAGATAGAGGGTCAGTGAACATCATAACCAAGGGAGTCATTTCTATTAGTTTTAGTCTCCTATACAAGTATTTAACTTGCAGTCTTGAGGGTTTGAACTTATATGAGATGACTATCATCCATCTTGGTTGAACAAAAACATTGGAATCTCAGCTGCGCCAATTAATTTAGGATTTAAGGTGTAGTAAATAGATATATGGGAGACAATCTTACCATGCCATTTAAAATTTCCGGAGTTGTCAAATTAGAAAGAGAATATGGTGGAAAGAAAATGCTACAGTCTTGGATGCAATATAATGATCTCAGATAAAACTACATTAGTCCTGGCATTATCAATTTGGTATTTTGATAGTATATTATCTGATGTTATTTCTGGCATAAAGGTTAACAACCCTTATGGTGGTCTAAGTTTTTGTGATATTTGGAAAAGTGTGTTGATGGTAGATATTAAAAAAATGACTGGAATTCCAAAGATAACGGACGTCTCAAAAAATCTTTGCAGTTGTCAAAACCATTTGTCTTCAAAAAAATAATTTCCCTTACTTACTCACATGTTCTAATTTGTCGGAGTTGTCACGTGAATCTTATAAGCCAGCCTTGAGAATCAGTTATATTGGAGAACTGAGATACTAGCTAGTGGTAGATGTAATTGTCTTCCAAGTGAAAGCTATCATAAGTAAAGAACGTCTTTAGACTTTGACTTCGAGTACAAAGAATAAGAAGTTAGCACTACTTACACTAAACGCCATGCAACTATATGCATGTTCAATGGCAATCAAGAATATCAATGTTGTTTGGAATATCAATGTTGACAAGTATATTGCTTTTGATAGTTGCCAGTCCATGGTGAGAGCTAAAAATTTCTAACATTTCTTTTTGTTGAAATAGGGTGAATCTTGTTGGATGCGGTAAACAGTTGAAGAGGCTGAAAGATGGAATTTCCAGGACTCGCGATTTTTCATGAGTAACGGTTCTGCATATATTGTTTTAATTTTTTATTCTTCACTCTTGATCAGGCAGGCTGTATATTGTGTTTAATTAGGTGATGCATGTTTACTGTATATTGTTTGTTGTTCAGACTTGTAAGTGAGTGAGCTCATTTTTGTAGTCTTCCTTCTTAGTCTGGGCTTTTTCCAGCATGAATTTATGAAGCAGTTGTACAGCAATGTCCCCAATATTGTTTAACAATACATATAATAGAATGAGTTTGTTAATGTCCATCTCCCTATTTTTACCTTGTGTCATGAAGAGCTCATCTCATATTTCAATTTTCCTCCATTAAGCTAGGGTTTGCTATGAAAAATGTGTAAACATTATTCTCAAATGCTGCTTACTGTTTTCTATTTTAATTGATTTGAAATATCAATAGACCACAGGCTCCGATGCTCTATTTTTCCGAATATATCTATCCTTTTTTTCGTATAATATATGAGTTCTTTGTATAAGAGGAATGGTATATGAGGCCCTTTTTTCCCTTTGATTTTATTATATTCCGAGCGGGCAGTGTGTACGTGGAGGAAGACAAGCCATGTAAACGAAAGATGAAAATTCGTTGATTCAAATTCAAATTCAAATTTATATTTGCAATCTGTAGACACCTATATTTTCATTTCACTTTTTCTCTCTCTTACATTTGGTTTGATTTTTGCTGATCCAAATGCAGAAATTGAGAGCTTCGGTATTTGGGCTTTATGGAAATATGAATTTCACTAAATCTGCTTTTTCGTAAGTTATTTTAATTTTATCTGGAATATATAATTTATTTTTTACTAATCGATTTTAGAACAATTAGGAAAGTGTATAATAATAGTATTGAATTAGTTATGCTGAAAATATTATCTTTAGTATTCATGGTTTGATTTGGTTTTAGGAAGCATAGTTCCGTGTTTATTATGCTTATTCGTGTATTAATAATATCGTAGTTTTTTAGGGATTAGTTAATAGTTATTCCTACAGAGGATTTGATAGTAGCGTGACTAATATATGTATTATTTTATGTAAAAATTTAAGGAATCCCATAGTGTAATTTAATAATTACATTTTGTCCCGAT